TTCCTCTCCCCCCACGGGTTTTTGGCTGTACATGCTTCATACATGTGAAGGATCCAAAGAAAACCAAGCTGGATCCCAAGGCTAAAAAGGGAATATTTCTAGGGTACTCTCCTACACAAAAGGGGTACAAGTGTTATGATCCTGTCTCCAAAAGAAAGTATGTCACTAGAGATGTAGTTTTTTTTTAGTCTCAACCATATTTCCAGTCTTCTCAGAATCCTCTTTAGGGGGAGACAAATGGGGTGGAAGAGGATTCTCCTTTCCTTTTTGTTCCCCTTTCATCACCTTCCACTATTCCTAGCTGTGACATTTCGGGTCAATCTAGTGAGGCTCCCACTGTGCCAGTTACATCCCTTGATACAGAAGATGCTCCTGAACGCTCCAGCAAGCAAGAGAAAGAGATACTTACATACAGCAGAAGAAAGAAGGGCCCTCAATCTCATGATTAAAACCAATTGAACTCAGATCAATCTGTCTCTACAATCCAAGGTAATTCTGACCCTCACACTTCAGATTTGGATCTTCCTATTACTCTCTCTGAGCCTGTTCGTTCTTGTACTACCCGGCATCCCATAGCTGATTTTGTTTCTTACTCACACTTATCTCCTGCCTATCACTCCTTTGTGTCTACTCTTTCCTTTGTTCGTGTTCCTTCCAGGTACTCAGAGGCAGCATCTGATCCAAGGTGGAAAGAAGCCATGAATGAAGAGATGAAAGCCCTAATGAAAGCAAGAACGTGGGAATTGGTTGACCTACCAGAGGGGAAAGGCACTATTGGGTGCAAGTGGGTATTCACAGTAAAGCACAGGGAAGATGGGTCAATCGAAAGGTATAAGGCAAGACTTGTGGCAAAGGGATTTACACAAAAGGAAGGAATTGACCACAAAGAAACCTTTGCCCCAGTAGCAAAGCTCAACACAATCCGGGTCCTACTATCACTAGCAACAAATTTATCTTGGGAACTTCATCAGCTAGATGTGAAGAATGCCTTCCTAAATGGTGATCTTCGTGAAGAGGTATTCATGGAACCCCCACCAGGCTATGATGTTGGAAAGAAGGTATGTAAACTAAGGAAAGCATTATATGGTTTGAAGCAGTCTCCCCGGGCATGGTTCGAGAGACTTTGTATGGCTATGAAGAAAGTGGGGTATACTTAAAGTAGTGCAGATCACACATTGTTTACAAGGAGACAGGATGACAAACTTACAGCACTCATTGTTTATGTGGATGACATGGCGATCACCGGAAATGACTTGGAAGAGATGAAGAGGCTGAAAGAGTTCTTAGCTTTAGAATTTGAGATCAAAGACCTAGGAAATCTGAGATATTTTCTTGGGATTGAAGTTGCTAGATCAAGAGAAGGAATCTACATATGTCAGCGGAAATGTGTTAGATCTCCTACTGGAAACAAGCATGATGGGATGTAGGCCAGCAGACACCCCAATAGAACCGAACCACGGACTACAAGAATCAATGGATGAGGAATACTGTGATAAAGAGAGGTACCAAAAATTGGTAGGAAAGCTGATATACTTATCCCTTACTCGGCCAGATATTGCTTATGCARTGCATGTTGTCAGTCAATTCATGCACTCGCCAAAGACCCCTCATATGAGAGCAGTGGAAAGAATTCTCAGGTACTTAAAGACTTTCCCAGGGAAAGGAATCCTATTCAGGAAAAGCAACAAACTTGAAATTGAAGCATATACTGATGCAGATTGGGCTGGTTCTATTGGAGACAGGAAATCAACCTCAGGTTACTATACATTCTTAGGAGGGAACCTGGTCACATGGCGTAGTAAGAAGCAGAATGTGGTGGCTAGATCAAGTGCAGAAGCAGAATACCGAGCTATGGCACACAGGGTTGCTAAACTCTGAACTCTTCTTAAYGAGCTTGGTATTAAGGYTGAGGGCCCTCTCAGGCTGTATTGTGATAATAAAGCAGCTATCAACATAGCTAACAATCCCGTGCAGCATGACCRAACAAAACATATTGAAATTGACYGACACTTTGTCAGAGAGAGAATTGTTTCAGGAGAACTCCGTGTACCCTATACACCATCTGAGATGCAAATTGCAGATATATTGATTAAAGGACTGACARCAACAAAGTTCAGAGACCTACTTGGCAAGCTAAACATGATTGCTATCCAGGCTTAGCTTGAGGCGGAGTGTTAGAATGTTAGAATGAAGTCTCTTTGTATGAGTGTTCGGCTGATAAGAGTCTTATTAGCCCATACTTAAGTTAAATTATCCTGTATCTGGGCCTGGGTTAATGGGCCTAAGYYTGTTTAATGTTTTAAGTTAACTGGGTGTCCCATCACTAATCAGGGGCATTCCAGTAAATTCTTGTACCATTGTACTTCATTCAAATATAAATYATTGCTGGTCGACTGAACAGTACAGTTCGACATTTTCCAGCATACCAGTGGTTTTCTTCTTCACTTCTCTACTTTGAACACAGCATTCAGCACACATGGAGGTTATGGGGGGAAAGGAATGGCAATAATCTTCAGTGAGAAGCATAGGCCAAAAGAGGTTATTGTGAAGGAAATAAAATCACTCCAGCTCTTTCAAAATATCTCAATTACTAATATTGTAAGAGCCTAGAATGAAGTGGCACATACTGCTGAGAAGAAGGAAAGAAAAGTGATGGAATGGAAGCCCCCATGCCCCAACAAGTTAAAGTTGAGCTTGATGGGAGCTCTATAGAAAACCCAGGTATGGCAGGCATTGGTGTGAACTGTTATCCCTGCTGCAAGGGCTAAAGATTGCCAAGCAAGCTGATCTTAAGAACTTGGAGATAGAAGGGGACTCAAAAACAGTGATATCTTGGACCGATTCAAGCAGTAATGTTCCTTGGAACTACAGACATCCATTAAGGAAGATAGTAAGCATAGCAAGGGAACTTAATGCCTCATTCACATTGGTCAGGAGAACTGCAAATGGAATGGCTGATTCTCTAGCCAAACAGGGAGTTCAAAGGCAACAGCTTTTTTGGGCTTTAATATTACATTTTCTGTTGAATTGTCTGCACGCTTTCTGATGTAACTCTATTTTAATTATATTCATTGAATAAAATTCTCACTTTTCTGATCAGAAAAGCTGAACATTTACTGATAAAAAAAAAGACTATTTATATTAGTAAGTTGTTCTTGCAAAGGATTAACACCAATCTCCTTTAAGAAGAAAGCAACAGCAAAGGCTTTAAAAGTAGTATGCTTTTTGGAAAATTGTAAACAGGATGCAAGAAATATATTACTTGTAGAATTATATATTACCTAGCTAACAAGCTACTTTAATCTAGCCAAACAAAGGGAAAACAACAAACATCATGCCAGAATTAGTTCACTGTACCTGTCCATAAACAACTTCATTCAGATCACTCATCGATGGAGTCCTTTCCAACAGGCGAGCCTACAAAATTTGTTAGACCATTAATAAATGAGTTATTTTATTGAACAAAACATGCAGGTTTAGAATAAAATGCAACCTACGGTAGCAAAATAACATTAAAACATTAATAACACTATCCAAAATAAAAAAAGAACCTATCAGATTTTGCATGGAGAAAGGCACCTCATTATGTCATAACACTGGGAGATTAAAAGCCTACAATGATAAAGGTATTTGTGCCACACAGTTAGCATGGATTTAATACAAACTATCTACTTTATAAGAAATGTCATGGATTAATAATATAAATGAACTTTTCCATTATCCACATCACCTCCAAAAGGCACTATGTGTCAAGATTTTCTTCTTAAAATTCAAAGGATGCCTTCTCAGTTTGATAAACAACAGCACAAAAATGTATTCAATAAAATAAGTCATAAAATGTAAAAACAAAATGTTGTGTTAGAACTTTTTATATTTGGCAAAGCAACCTGTTCATTGTGGCACCCCAATGGGTGCCCTACAACTTGCTGCCTTCTCTTGCTCTCAGGAAACAAGCAATGGGTTGAGTGCAAGCACTCAAGCCATTGCACTAACACACAGCTAGTTCTCTTGCTGCTTCAGCTTTGTAGCTTTCGCTTTCTTGCACGCTGGCACTTGCATCAACTTTAAATCATTCTGCTAGCTGCTTCAGAAGGCTGCACATTAGTGCAACGGCTTAAGCACCAAAGGTTGTGGAGGCAGCAAGTTCATGGGTAGGGCACCTTCACTTGCTCCAGAGCTTGCATAAAACTAGCATCAGTCATAGATAGGAATTGATTTCTCAATGAAACAAGCCCCATCTCTTATTACCTCCCACCTCAACAGCAAAGTTAGGTGCAAATACAGATATTGATGCAAAATGGTCCTGAACCAATTTCACAACTACCATCCATCACCAATCAGTCAATCACATTCCACATCCCCACTGCCACAAAATGGAAAGATGATAGCAATGTTTTGAAAACTGAACAAGATGTCAGACCAGAAATGGGCCTGATTCTGGATTTTCCCAGTTAACTGGGCATTTCAGCATAAAACAGCCAGAAGCAGCCTGTTTCAATCGGATTAGGGTTGTATTCCAGTTTAATCTGGTTTGATTGGCCAGTCCAATCCAGTTTATAAAACATTGATATATAGAACTGTTGTGGGACATAATCTATGTGGCCTGGGCTGTTATGTTCTGCCTTGCTATGACTTTCTTATTTTGGGCTTATCGGGCCTGGGTTGACTTTATGTAACAGGCTTTCTACTGCCAAATAGTGGAGGTGGCAGTTTCGTACTTTCATGTATTTTAAATCTCATTTAAATATCAAGTTAGGGCTGAACAACTTCATGATATCAGAGCAACAAAATCAACCCTAGACCCTGCCTCGTTTTCCGTCCTTTCTCTTCTCTTCTCTTCGTTTTTCCTTTTTTCTTTTCGGTTACGGTTCATTGACTTCATTCCCTGGAACCCAAGCTCTGGTTGTAGTTAATTAGGTTCCTCCTTTCTCTCTAGGGTTCTGCCTTGGAGTTTCGGACCAAGGAGACCCTAAGCTGTTCAGCTATGTACTGTAGCACAAATTGAAGTGCGGGAGACCTGTGTTTGCTGGTCTAGAAGCTGGACTGAGAAATCTCAGCAGTTCTGGAGGTATTGTCTAAACCCTTGCAGCGCTTATACACCTCCACATTATCCATCCCCTCTTCTTTGGGCTCCAATGCGTTGTAGAAGCAAGAAGTTTGAACACACATGAAGGAAAGTTCTACCCGCATCCAAAAAGACAAAAGAACAGCTCTCAAATGCATAGAAAAAATAGATAGGAGATTAGTAAATGGTAACAAGACTTGGCATTTGTTCTACATAATGTACACAATTAGGGGACAAGTTCCAATAACGCCTCCTCTGTAGGAGACCGCAAGTGTTAATACTTTCATGAAAAGCTACCCAACAGCACACCCCTATTTTGGGAGGAATAGGTTTACACCAACTTCTTTCACAAGAAAAGACTGCAGCTTATGATACAGAGCCTCAAAGAAAGAAGCACAAGAAAAACCCCCAAAAGGATGAGGTGTCCATATATGATCATCTTCTTCCTCAGGATCAAGGAAGATCCCATCCAAGATGTTCAACAATTTGATCACTGGCTCGACTTCTAACACTCCAAGGTTTCTCCTAGACCCCCAATTCCTATCAAACCCCTTACGAGAAGTAGAATGTACATGATGCCAGAAATGGATTTCCCTTTGAGGAGAGAGAGAGAACAAGGAAGAGTTACCATGGTGCATGTTGTTCGCAGACGACATTGTTTTAATTGATGAAATTAATGAAGGATTAAGTTTATGGACAAATACCTTCAAAATAAGAGGTTTTAAAACAAGTAGGACTAAAACAGAATATATGACATGTAAATTTCATAATAATAGAAGTTCAAATTGTTAGAGTTGGCTGTAAAGGGGTAATTTGGTCATTTTGTTTTATGTTAAGAGTGTGGTGTAATGTCTTTATATTCTGGTTTAAGTGTTCTGTCCCATACTTAATTAGGGTCATAACTGTCTTTGTGATTTTAATTAGAAACCTATAAATAATATCTGGCTGACTAGAGAGAGAACATTTCTCTCTAGTTCGAACCAGTCTTTCTCTCCTACTTCTTCTCTTCTCTTCTTTCTCTCTTTTCTCTTTCTTCTCTGCTGTTTTTCTGTTATTCTAGGGCTGAAACCAGTACAGATCTGAATTGTAACATGGTAGCAGAGCAACTATAATCAGATCTGCCCAGAATTTTTTTGCATCACCCTTTACCCTAGTTTTCTGCAGGTATCTCATCAATGACTTGGAGATTTGCAGAAGGGATGAAAAGGAGTGATCATTTTCTTCTTCTGGAGGTTTCCATGCCTCCAGTTGGTGGTGCAGAGGTCATTTCAGGTGATTGGTAGAAAACCCTCTAACCGATGGATTGAAGAGGGCTGTTTCAAGTAGTGTAGTGGACAGATTAATGCAGGACTGATTTGTGTGGTTCAAATAGGTGGGTTGCATGGGTGTTACAGTGTGAAACAGGTATTGATTGGTTGCAGACCTATTGCTATGTGTGTGGGGTGTATCCGGGTGGTTTTGTGATATTGAAAGTGTAGGAAAGCAGTGACTATTATTGCCAAAAACTGTGACAGCAGATGTTTTCAGAAATAACCAGCCATTAGTGTGCAGTGTGGTGGCTAGCAAGTGAGGTGGTATGACATACTAGTGAGTCCAAAGTTTGTTTTTACCATGGCAGCTATGGGAGACAGCACTGAACACAAATCTAGTGTTACGGTTTCCCCTAGTTACCTGAATGTGCAGATGACTTCTATTAAACTGGATGGTGAGAATTATGTGCCTTGGGCTAAGTCTGTAGAAGTTTTTTTATCAATAACAGAATTTCATTAGAAATATTAAGATTACAAGATAGGGAGACGTAAACTATCTTAACTCTCCACAGACAAAAAAAAAAAAAAAACTGTTACAGCTGAACACAAAACAACTGGTTCCTCCCCACCCCTTGTTTTGCTAAAACATCAGCTGAACTTCACTTCCATATCTTGAATCATCCACTTGAATCTCTTTTTTTTTTCATTATTGAAAGTCCAAAAACCTTTATATTCCATTTTCAACCATTCCAAAACCAGCTTTGAATCACCTATTTTTTATTATTAAAATGTGAATTTCATTAATCAAAGGGAATAATCTGTTACATGCATCCTTTGGAGAAGCGCGAGGTGCAGCCTCTCCTAGATATTACAGTGAAACAAGAAAAAATAATAATAAATTACAGACTTGCCCAAAAAAGCTCTTCCCTAGAAATCCCTTGTTTGGCAAGACAGCAAAAGCATTTGCCGACCTACCCACCCATTGGACTCTAATAATCATGTCTTGTTAACCATTTAAATTTCTTCATAAGATCCCTATAGCTCCAAGTAGCTGAATCGGGGTTCTGCAACCAACCCACAATCACCTTAGAGTCCCCTTCAATCAGTAACTTCTCTATCCCAAGTTGGTCGGCGATCTGAATTCCTTGTACAGCAGCCAGCAGCTCAGCCCTTGTAGAATCACCTACTCCCACCGGGCCTGAAAACAGTTATAAGATCTTGCTATCCTCAGTTCTCAAGACTCCTCCAATCCCTGGCAATCCCAGATTGCATTGACTGCTCCAATCAAAGTTCAATTTGATAAAACCTTCTGAGGGAGGTATCCAAACTGTTGCAGATTTATTTTTCTGAGAGGACAAATTAGCCATTTTTTTTTGATAAATGGGACAAATTAGCCATTGCAGCCCAGCTTCTCCAAAAATCCGCAAAGGAAAACGGAGAAAAGGATTCTAAGGTTCTCAGCCAGTGTATAGCTCTACTTACACTCCTTTACTGCTGGAAGGGTTCTCTCCTTCTCAACCAGCTTTGAATCACCTTCTACAATCAGCTTTCTGACATTCAGATCTTTAGCCTTTTGCAGTCCTTCCATAACCGCCATAACCTCAGCCCTTAGAGAGTCACCTATTTCAGTCGATGCTTATATTAGAATTGTGTCAATCAGAACTTGCCACTTCCTTTCATTTGTTCATGATATCACCTATTCGGAAATCAGCAAATATCTTCATAGATTTTACCCAATGAACCACTCTCACCATAATGACTTCAATGACAGCTTCTCTACTTCTTTCCTTGTCTAGGAATAATCTTGCATTTCTTTCTTCCCATAAAGTCCAGCTCACAGCCGCCCTTACACATCTCCATAATACTCGTCCCTTTTCTTTGGCCATCTCAAGAAAGTAGAAGCAAATTAGCTTTGTGCAAAAATTGGTAAAGTGAGTAGAGGATACACAAGCAATCATCCATTTGATCTACATTGCCAAATTCTCACTTTCTGTAGCATCCATATAAAATCCCAATCAACATTCTAAGTCAAACTTGCACACAAACGCCTCCTTTCCATTTATTTAGCATCCTCCATTGCCTCATTTTCCACCAAAAATTGATCAGTAATTTGCCTAGCCTAATAAAAACTCCTTGTAGTTGAGACACGACAAATACAAGAACTTTTCTCATTCATCTTGCAAGAATTTTTACTATGATTTCATAGGGACTGGAGATTAGGGTAATAGGTTTGAAGTCACTAGGACACATTGTTTTTTTTTTTTTTTGGTACCAAAGAAATGAAAGTGGCTACCATAACCCTTTTTGGTTCTCCCCTTACAATGTAACTCTTGAAACACTCGTTATATCCTCTTCAATTAACTCTCAACAGTGCTAAAAGAAAGCACTAGAGAATACATCAGGACTAATTGTCTTGCTTCCTGTCATACTGAAAACAACACTCCTAACCTTATCTTCATCTATGAGTCCAACCATGGTTCACAACATCGGTGATGTCTGCAAGATTTTCTCCAAAATTGTCAATTCTAGGGGGATCTGAAATTATCCAATAATCTTTTTTTCCCTAATATCTTCAATATATTGTCAATATACCAGTTATATTTAAGATTTCATCAATAAGCTATACATATAAGGTTTAAAATTTTTTAATATTGTTAGAAACTTTTTGATATTTCATTAAATGATCGTAGTTTTTAAAAACCTTGTCCTTAAAGAACAATTGGGGATTTAGTAAAAGCATGATTGGTTTACTATTTTGATATGATTCACTTACCAAATCAATATAAATCCAAAATAAAAAAAGGAATACAATTGCAAAAAAGGATTCTCAATCTAATCAAAATGTATAGCAACAAAAAAAAAAACAAAAGTCAAAATGGAAAGTACATGACATGTGCAATAAAGAAAAGATAGATAAAAGTCAAAAAGGGAAACAGAGAACAAGATACCAACTTAAGTATCTTAATCTTCTCTATTTGACTCATATGTTACTTGTTATAGGTTTTTTAGCCTTAAATGTTCAATTGTACTTCCTTTTAGTGGTCAATAACAATCAGAATTTTAATAATGTAATGTGATTAAGTCCATATATGCACAAGTTTTCTTTTAGAGAAAAGGGTCTCATCTCTACTCTCTTTGAGTATCATTTTACTTTTTCACAATTGTGCCCAAAACATTTGCTCCATCTACACCCCTTGCTTTATAGAGTATCTACCAAGCTATTAGCTTCCTTTGGGATCCAAGAAACCTTCACCTCCATATCTCTAGTCTACCACCTGAACCTTTTTCCTTCACTACTGTAGCACCACAAAGTAGCCTCCCTTTTCTGTAGCCACTAGAGCTGTAAAGTAGGTCAGGCCACCCACAGGTTGGCACAGCATGGCCACTGTAGCAAGCGGACATTTCCAGGCATGCCATATATATATAACTTTTTATTTTCAATTTTATTATATTATTTTTTTGTAATTTTTTTCAATTCATTTTATTATTTCATATATAAACAATTGTATACATCAAAATTAATATGGACTAAAATTTTAAGATCTTTTTTTTCAATTTCTTGTCTATCTTGCTAATTTATTTTAACTTTTCATTATTTTTTTTTCAATTTTTCTAAAACAATCATGCACCCGCGGCACAGCCCAAGGCCTCAGGCTGTGTTGGGCTTCCCTCTTGAGGGATTTCGGGCTAAGCAGGCACAGCTTGCCAAGGCCCATGTGCCGGCACAGTATGGCCCACTACAGTGCGGGCAACCCAAAAAAGTGGATCATATTGGGCCAGCACAGCCCACATTACACCTATAGAAGCCAAAATCGTGCTTCAAAGTTCGAACCAGCCTACTCCAAGATAGATTTGATCCCAAGATAGTCCTTCAATTCATCTTACTATAACTAGGACCAAAAGATCCTTAAAATGAGACACAAGAATATAACCTACTGATCATCAACCTTAATTCCACCACAAATTTAAATCCTTCCCATTCATCCACCTGACATCTATTCCACCAATTCTCCACATTATTTAGAAAATAGATAAGAGATAGCAACATATGTTTGAAATGGAAAGGGTTGGACAACCCATGATCTCAACATTCTTATCTTGCAATCCCTTTCCTTTTCAATGAATTTCATTTCATTTACTATGAAACAATAATTAAAGCAAAACAAAACAAAAAGACAATAAACGTCTATGATAACATTCAAATTGTACTTTAGATGGCACAAAACTAGGAGTGAGTTAACAAAAAGGAACACTACTAAATTTGACCAACAATTTCAAGGAGAAAACTCAAAAATGCATGCAAATGGAGTATGTAAAAGAAATCAGCTGCACCAAACCTTAACACCTCCAGGAAAACAAAATGAAGGTAAATCCTTTGGTTGTAAGGCAAGCTTCTTCCCAGTAGGGTATTTAAAAAGGATCTGCACGGTGGCAAACAAATTGATATCAGTTTCTCTGTCACAAAAAGATAGCATCAAATCAACATCAAAATACATTTTCACACATAGCTAGAGATAAACCTTAAAAGCAAACTAAACAAAGGTTTGCTTGCAGTAGCATGTAAGGTGGAGGAATATGCTTACCAACAAGACACTTGAGGAGTAAGGATATACAGTATTCATATTAATAATGACACTCTCCATGAGATTCAGCTACAAAAGAACAAAAGGGAAAGTGTGGAAACAAAATGAACAAAAAATTTCTAGATGGACATTGTTATGTCTGCTATATATATCATCAACTGTATGCTATCTCGGTTGCTAGGGTACAAGGCCCCACATCAACTTTTTTTTCTTGAGGCCCCTTTGTTCTCAATTCCTATGTGTCTTTGGGTGTTGTTGCTTCATTCATGACTTGACTTCTACTTGTGATAAGCTTGACCCTCATGCTATCCCTTGTGCTTTTTTTTTAGTTATCCTTCATCTCAAAAGGGTTATCGATGTTTTCATCCTATTAGATGTGTAACCACCACTTCCTCCCTTCCAACTCTCTAGCCTCTAAACATATTATTAGCATATGCCCTTACAATCATTTCACTCAGAACATCAGCTTCCAAGGTAAATAAGATGGGAGATAGAGGATCACCTAGTATAAGGCCCCTTTTAGCAGGAAAGAAATCTCTAGCTACTCCATTCACCAAAATTAAGAAATGGTATGAAGAAATACAGCCCTTTACCCATCTGCACCATCTCTCTCCAAAACCCCTACAATTGAGAATATCCATCAAAAGAGCCCCAATCTACCATGTCATAAGCCTTTTCTAGATCCAGTTTACAAACTAGCTCCTTTTGCTTTTCCCTTCTTCTAAACTCTACGCATTCATTAGCAATTAGAATTTGTTCCATTATTTGTCTCCCAAAAACAAAGGCCCCTTGATTTGGAGATATCATCAATGCAAGGACATTCTTTATTTTTAGAGACGACACCTTAGATATAATTTTGTACATGCTTCCCACCAGACTTATTGGCCTAAAATCTTTCAGCTGAATTGCATCCACTTTCTTTGGTATCAAAGCAATGAAAGTTGCATTTTCCCCTGAGTTCAATTTTCCCCTCTCAAAGAATTCATCAAACACCTCCATCAAATCACCCCCAATTATCTCCCAACAATCTTGATAGAATGTCATCATAAAACCATCTGGCCCCAAGGCTTGAGGTCTCTCCATTAAGAATAATGCATGTTTCACTTCTTGTACCTTAAACTTCTTTTCCAAAGTGTCCATTAAATCTCTATTTCCAGCCCTCTAAACCTTCTCCTGAGCTCCTTGGATAGTCATTATTGTTTGGGTCATGTTTCTTTTTCTTCGTTGAGTCTTTTGTTTCCAACTTTGTTTTGTCAAATCTACAGTGTGAGTCATGTGAGTTGTCAAGGCATTGTAGAAACTCTTATCCTACAAGTAATAAAAGATCTATAGTTTATTTTCATATTGTTCACTCTGATGTGTGGGGGCCACACTATTTATCTTGTATGGATGGTTATAAATACTTTATTCTGTTATTGATGACTTTTCTCATTATACCTGGCTTTACCTTACTTGAGGAGACAGGTATTATGGCAATGTAAACCAGTTGCTACTCCCATGGATCCCAATGCTAAACTTGTTTCAGATCAAGAGGAGCTAGTAGATGATCTCAGGCAGTAACGGAGACTTGTAGGGACATTGAATTACTTGACTATTACTCATCCAGATAGTTGTTTTGCAATAGGGGTTGTAAGTCAGCTTATGAGCTCTCCATGTGTTCCTCACCTTGAAGCTGTGTACAGAATCATAAGGTATCTTAAGGGGATTGTTAATAGAGATTATGGTCATTTGATTGTAACTGGGGTCACTGATGCTGATTGGGCTAGATCACCAACAGACAGAAGGCCAACAACAGGATATTGTATGTTTTTAGGTGGTAATCTTATTTCCTAGAAGAGCAAGAAATAAAATGTCGTAGCTAATTGCAGAAGCTGAATATAGAGCCATGAGTCATGCAACAAGAGAACTAATGTAGCTTAAAGTCTCCTTCAAGAAATTGGGATTCCAATGAAGATTCCAATGCATTTACACGGATAATCAAGCTGCCATTCATATTGCATCAAACCCAGTCTTCCATGAGAGGATGAAACACATTGAGGTAGACTACCATTTTGTTAGAGAAAAAAATTCAAAGTGGTGATATTGACATATCATTTGTGAAGACAGGAGAACATTTGGTTAATTTATGGACCAAGGCTCTAGCCGCTACATATCGCCCTCGTATTGACTTCATCACTAACAAGCTAGGCTTATATGACATATATGCTCCAGGTAGAGGGGGAGTGTTGAAAGAGTGTTATATTGGGTGTATTTGGGCAGCAGGGTAATTAAGTAATTATGTGTTTAGAATAAGGACACTCCAGTCCACTATCTTTTTTATAATTAAGGGCATACATGTAATTTTCTATTTACTTAATGTTAATATAAAGCTGGGCCAAGTCCAATGAGGCGATCAAGTCATTCTAATCTCTCTCAAACACAGTTCGACAGTTTTCTCCTTCCCTCTTCTCTTCTCTTCTTTCTTTTCTGTTCCAGACTTGCTGCAGCATATATATATATATATATATATGTTGTTAAATTTTATCTCTGTAATACCATATTTTAACAAGAGCTTTCATTGGTGCCACATAGACAATCTTATAGTTGTTGTGGTTAAATGACCCATCTGGGTTTCTATGCATTGCTATCTGTTGAAGGATAGCTAACATTACAACATTTGTTTTACCTGCTCCAGTGGGAGTACATAAAAGAATATTCTCTGCTGTAAATAGTGCAGTTTCATAACTTCACTTTGAACTCTGTTAAGCTGGGTCATCCCTTTGAAAGCTGGTTGTGCCCAGTCAGGCATGACAGATTTTTATAAGTTTTTCACCAGGTGCAAGTGGTTTTGGTTTCAAGGCTGGAACATGAATTCTTCATATCCCTTGTTTTGGTTCCTAAAGGACCCCAATGGAAGCTCACATTTCTTGTTCACCATCAAGAGAGCACCGTGATGAAATGCAAGGCTGTCAAGATCAAGCAACTGATACTGCCCCTTCAACCAACCATTCTCTGCACCTTTATCAGCAATACCCTCTCCAGTCCCTATCCCCATTTACAGCTCCACTCTCATCTTTCAATCTTCTAGCCTCTTCTCTTATACTCTTCTCCAAGTTCTTCTGTCTTTCCTTGGCAGTTACCCTTCTTGCATGCAACTGCTCCAAAATTGCAGCCAAATCTCCATCAAAACTCATTATTTCTTCCTTAATCTTCTTCCTCTCCTCCTGGTCTTCGGCCCCTGCCAGACAAGTACACCAAACTATTTTCAGCGGATTCCTCAAGAGAAAATGAGGCTGAACTTATCAAATTCAAGAAGAACCAAAAGCCTAGTCTCCACTTCCCAGCCATCACCTTCTATAAGTATCTTAAGTACAACATCTTATTTCAGGTTCTTGCAATGTTTCAGGTCAATCTCTTCATAAGTATGAGATATCTTCCTCTGAAATCAATATGCATCTATGTCTTGAACATTTAGAGTCATGTCCTCATTTGCTTCTTGCATATCATCGTCATCAATCTCACCACCCATCTGCATTGCGCCGGCACCATTAGATTTGAGCCCATCATCCTCATCCTCTTCAACTTCATCGATCACATCATAATTTCTGTTGTCCTCTTCATCTTCTTCCTCCTTACACTCGACAGAAACACCCACTTCGTCATCAAGACCCTCATCAGCATTACCAATAGCCAAAACCGCAGCATCACCCTCATCCTGGTAATCCATAATTAGCCTTCCAATAGACACCAGCTGATCAAACACTTCATTTGGGATAATATTTAAAAGCCTCTCGATCTCCTTGTCGGGATTCTTAATGGACTCATTCTTCAAAACCACCAGCACCTCATCGTCTGCACCAGTGACAACATTAGGTGGCTGCCCACTGAGTTGTTGCAGAATAACACCCAGCAGAACCTCATATGCCGACAGGGTTTCCTTCGTCTTCGGCCGGTAAATGCCTTCCTCAGAAAAAGTGAGGACGCTCTCCTCCTGCAGACGTCGTTGCTTGCTCTGCCTACTAGGAACCAATTCAGAAGGATACTGCTAGCACTCTTTCTTCTTCTTCGACTTCTTCAGCTTATCGTCGGACTGAGGGGGTTTCCCTCCATAAGCCCGGTCACTGAAGGTTTTAGGGTCTGTTTTGCCATAAAGAGATTCGGTCTTGCTAGTGGGCTCATGGGTGTCTTGCGGGCAAGAGTCAGTGGTGAGCACAAGACTCAAATTGGCTCAATACTTCTACTGCTTGAATCGAGCATGTGCCTCCGCACCACCACACAAATGTGCCATTGATCCTCACCAACAAAATAAGAACCTAAAGCAGTAAAAGCAATAAGAAATACAAACAGAAACGGATGAGATAGATGTACTAAAAAAGCGTTCCCAGAGCTACAACTCGACCTCTACAGAATCAGGACCAAAACAGATATGCTAATGAAGCAGAAATCAGAAAATAAACAGATAAGAACACTTGAAAGAAAAGAAAGCTGGAACAGCAATCACGTTGCCCTCGTTTACTCAAATGGTACCAAGAGTAACACTAGGCCCTAACTATTCAAAAGAAAACAAAGAGAAGAACCATTTCTGCCCCTTATTTAGCAAGTGAATCAGCCAGACCATTTGCTGCACTAGGCACCCAATTGATGGAAAGTGGAAACTACCATTTTACTTACAATTTGTTCTATTTCTCTCAATAAACACCTCTATTGCCATATTCCTGGTTATACTTCTTCAGTAAATTAATATTGAGAGCATACTCATGTCAACTGATTAAAGGTGGAGGGTCAGAATGGAGCTGTGTCGACACACCTGCAGTTTCACAGATGACATCATTCTCTTTTGTAAAGGTGATGTGGAGGAAGTATTGAATTTGAGGTCATTGATAAACATGTTTGAAAAGATAACACATCTTAAGGTTAAAGTTGTCTTGCAAGAATTACTTTAGGAGGAATTAGCTTCTTTTATAAAAATTTTAGGGTACACTGTTACCTCTTGATCAATAACCTTATGCCACTGATTGTCCTGTTCTAGAGGGAGCCTCCACAACCACTCTCCCAGGAGAATAGATACCCAGACCTAGTCTACCATCTTTCTTGCTTTTGCACACTATTTCCCAATTGATAAGATGGTCTCTTTTTGACTCCTCAGGTTCCCATAAGAAATCCCCCATCAGTTTCTCTAACCTCTTGACACTGACATCAACATCCTAAAGACTGACAAAAAATAGATGGGCACATTGGACAAAGTAGAATTGATGGGAGTGATCCTAACCCCTATAAGAATGTAGTTCCCCTTCCAGGAAGATAATTTTTCTTGGTTATCCTATCAACGACTAGGTTCCAAAAACTGATGGCTCTATGGTTTCCTCCCAAGGGAAGGCCCAAATATTTCAAAGGTCACTACAACACTAAGGAGCCCAACACCCTAGCAAAACTTTCCAACTCTCTCTCCCCAATATTTATACCTGCAATGCAGCTCCTATCCAAGTTGTTTTTTGTTATTTGAGATTATTTTGAAGCACTTGATCAAAAGTTGGAGGTTCTTAAGCCCTTATTCCATGATGTCGCCAACAAACTGTAGGTGAATCACAATTTCATCTTCTCTTTCAACCCTCCAATCTCTAACTAATCCATACCTATCCACCCTAGATATGGATTGCTTCATTGCGACCTGGGTGACCATGGTTCAAATCTTGGAAATAGCCTCTCTGTATATGCAGGGGTAAGGCTGCGTACATCTGTCCATCCCCAGACCCCACATTGGTGGGAGCCTCGTGTACTGGGCTGCCCTTTATCCACCCAAGATATCAATTGGCTCAACACTTTTGCAATTAGAGTGAAGAGGAAGGGAAAAAGAGGGTACCCCTGCAGCCTTGCCTAAGTCGTTTCTTAGAAAGGAAGCATCCCTTGGCCACCTTGTTGATTAGCATGGTGTTTGGCACCAGAGCGTTTCACAAGCGTTCTGTTTCACAAGTGGGCTCTGATTCACAAGTGTTTCATTTCACCTGTTTTGTTGAAAAACACAAAAAAAAATCGGGATGCAGGATGATTGGGCATTTAAAATGATTTGACTTAATATTATAATATATTTATAATGACAATTGTGTGACATCTCAGAAAAGTAGTCAGCTTTTTCAAATTTCAATGTGCCATACTGCCATGTCACCAGGGGGAATCAGGATCACAAAGGCAATTCAAGAAACGTCAATTTGATGTTTCAAGAAACCCCTCCTTTCCTGAATTCCAAAGGTAATCATTACAAAAAACTTTTTTTTTTTTGAAAAAAAACTGCCAAATGCGATTTTCTTGCCGATTCCGTTTAATTGCAGATGTGGCGTGCATGACACATCAACATAAACGGAACGCTTGTGAAACACTCCAGTGCCAAACACCCACTAGGATTAAGTAATGGCAAGTTTGGAGACGGCCCTTGATTCATAGTGTTCATTTTGCTCCAAAGCCACACTTGTCCATTACATCCTCTAAAAAAGACCAATTCACAAAATTTTAGGCTTTTTCCAAATTCAATTTACACGACCAACCTTTCTTACTAGATTTCCTTAAGTCCTGGGCACATTCATTAGTAATTAAAATTTGATATATTTTGTTATCTTACCTATCTACCCTGGATGAAAGCCCCTTGATCCTGTGAGATTACGTGGGGATGGAATTCTTTGATCCTTAGTGAAAACACCTTAGCAATTATCTTATAAAGACTCCCAAGAAGACTTATTGAAGACAACACTTCTGATTACCAACCAAAAGGCGGGGCAATTTTGCACTTGAATCTGTATTTTGGTGGAGGATCTAGAGATCTCATGTCATGTTCTCATGCTGTCTGCCACTAAAAAACTCAGCAAACTTGTGTCCTGAAAGAACAGGATGATCCACCTAATATATATAATGTTCATCAATGTTTCCAGTAAATTCTTCTTATCTTGAAAATCTCAAGTGGTCCTCTCCTCCCAAAAGGGCCAAAGAATAGGGGCTCAGATGAGCTACACACAGAGGCATGTAAAATGAGCCATGCAACCAATCAAGAGTGAACATGCCAGTATTCCACATACACCAGGTATGAGCCCCATGAGTACAGAGCACTGGCATGTTCACTCTCAATTGGTACCGTAGCCCATTGCACACACCTTTGTGTGTAGTTCATTCCATTCCAAAGGATAGATACTATAGCACACCTTTAAGGTACTTCCTTGTTATCCATCAAAAAGGTTCCTCCCTGTCACAATGCATAACAGTACCCTCATTCCTAATCCTATCCTATTATAGATAAAGGGCATTATGTACCTTATAATATCCAAACTTCTCTTAGAATTTTTTGATTAAAAAATATCCCTAATTGAAGTAGTTTGGGCAATCCAGGCCTATCAAGAGTAGGAGGTGTGTTTAGAGAAGAGTTCGGATCAGCCTTGGCTTTATTTTCAGGTGCTATTGGAAGTGGGAACTCAACAAGAGCAGAGTAGCTGTCCTGCATGGATTGAGACTAGCAAAGACGATGAACTTCAGAAAAATATTGTGGTTAAAGGGGACTCCAGAGTAGTAGTTCGCTGGATGGAAAACAGGAGCCAATCGATATGGTAATACAGATAAGCCATTAAGGAAATTAAATTGTTGATAAGGGCGTTAGACACAACTCTTCAGCGGGTGCAGAGATCTACAAATGCCATGGCTGATGATTTGGCTAAACAAGGGGTAGATAGGGAACAAATGCTTTGGGCTCAGATTTAACTTCATAAATTCTTGGGATAGGCAGTAGGCTATGTTAGGGACTTGAAACTTGAAACTTGCATGTTCATTATAATTTCTTTGAAACAAAAATAAAAAGTTTTGATATCTATCAAAAAAGATCTGCCTAATTGTTGTTTTCAAATTTAACCCCATTTTAGTCTTAAATCAGAACCGTCTTAAGTAACCAACATATATCATAGTCCTACAAATGTTTAGTTAGTCATCTAAAGGTCATACTTCTTTAATCAGGTTTTAATGCATATATTGTATAACTTTTTTTTATGAGAAAACGCATTTTTAATGGTAATGAATCAGATTTTTCCTTGATGTCTATGCAAGCCCCTTAATCTTATCTTACTCAAACTCTTGAATATAGATCTTTGTTGTTTTTCTTTTTGGTCATTAGTAGGTAAATATGCCTGTATTAACTTCCTGTGAAGTTACATTAACACATCCAGTGTTTCTTGAATCTTTCCCCAATTTCCCAGATTTACCACATTTCTGAGTGATACTTTCCCACATGCATCAGATATTTTCTAATTAATCAAAAGCTCAAACATTACACCAACCTCAAGGAACTCCTTGATTTGGTCATTAGCATGCTTGCAGCAAAAGAAGAGATGAGAGATCATATATAAATGTAATGCAGAACAAAAATCATAAGTACCATGTCTAATAGCAAGATTAATATCACAAGATTCCATGCATATTAAGAAAAAAAAGGTAACTAAACAATTCCGGGATAATATAAAATGGAAAGCTTCAACCTATATCGAGTTGGTAATTCAATTATCCAATGCAATTAACCTGAGGTTCCAATGTAGGAATTGAAGGCCCACGATATTGTAGCATTTTGAGATCTATTTCAGATTTAGCCATCTCTAGTTCCCAGGTCTTCCTTTTGGCAAATGCATTCTCAACAGCCTCAAGATTGGCATCTGGATGAAGACCCACAATAACAAAGTGTTCGAAAAGTGAAGTAGGTTCCATATATCTTTTACGTTCCTACAAAAATAGCTAAATTTTAGTGTTGGACATAAAGAATCCAAAATTAACACTAATAACTGATAAGTGCAACTACCATCTTAGGAAAAATCCTATTCTAGCATGTATTATACAAACCACATAAGCCCAAGTGAAAAGACATAACATGTGAGATCTTATAACTTTGTAATTCCCTAAAAATTGAAAAGTAAAACAACATATTTGAAGGCTTTACCAATCAAATATATTTTTCTACCAAAAAAAAATATTACCAAGATATTTGACATTTAATCTGGAAGGAATACTTCCGATCCATAGTCTCGGACCGTGACCCTGCCTTCCTGAGTTCATTCTGGAAGGAATACTTCCGATTGCAAGGAACCCAACTGCACCCATCGACAAGTTATCACCCGCAGACTGATGGACAGACTGAAGTTCTTAATCGATGCTTAGAAGCCTACCTTAGATGCTTCATAGGGGAGAAGCCTAGACAGTGGGCCCACTGGCTCCCATGGGCAGAATACTGGTACAACTCGACTTATCAGTCGGCTGCAGGAATGACACCCTTCAAGGCTCTATATGGCAGAGAACCCCCTCCCATATTACCTTATGAATATGGGTCGTCCAAGGTGGCAGAAGTAGAGACCCGCCTACTAGCAAGAGACGACATCCTTAGACTGCTTAAGACCAACTTG